TAACAAGTTATGATAATCAAGAATAAAAATATTTATTGATACTTTTATGTCTGTAAAATTGAAATAATAATATAATGAAATAAATTTCCTTATTCTAATATATTTGCAATTTCTTATGAGAATGATTTGGCTCTCATAATGATTAAAAAATTACCGTAATTTCAATATAGGTTAACCCTTTCTTTAACCGCTGTACTATTAGAATTCGATATATTTGAAACTGTTTTGTTTTACGCCAATTTCAAAGATGTTGCCACTTTGCAACTTCAAAAAAATTAATGCTCCAGTAAACAATAAAATATTTATTCTATAGCTTTCTTTCAAAATAAGTGATTTATTACTGATGACTGTGGAAAACAACGTCTGCTATATCTATTAAATAATTCCTGGTTTTATTAACATTGGTACATCTTGTAAAGTTCTGGAGTGGTTGCCACATGTAAAACCGTTTCCGTACAAAATTTAAAATACACAATGTTGTGTTTTTACCATTTATTAGTAGCAAAAATGAAATAGTATGTCAAATATTTTTTATTGTCTTTGTTTTTTAAATGTAAAACATTATTTTCTCATTAGTTATTTTTTTTTTGTTAATTTTATTTACCGGTATACACAGATTGATTCTAAGAATTTTCTTGTCTGCTTGAAAAGGATTTACCGTACATAAAAAGGTTTTAATGATTCACTGTTGTTTAAATTTTTTCCCACGTGCCATTATTCTTTTCATACATTATTAATTTTTTCATTATTAAATTTTCTCTCATTAAAATTTATAATTAAACTTATATATATGTATTTTTCTTTACTGTTGCTTGATATATACATTCAATGGTCATTTGCGTGTTTTAGCAAATCCCTGGAGAAGAAAAATAAAAATGTAAATTAATTTGCTTGTTTTATTTTTGATTTTATAGATGATGTGTCCAAGTTGTTCTGAAATGAAAAATTTTAATTTACCTTTTAAAATTTTAATTTAAAGATTTATGCTACAATGAAGCAAAAAAGGCATTGAAGGAATGAAAAAATAAGATTAACAAGTTTTGATAATCAAGTATTTAATTGCTGTAAAAATATTTTCTTGATACTTTTATGTCTGTAAAATTGAAATAATAATATAATGAAATAAATTTCCTTATTCTAATTAATTTGCACAATAAGATTTTATGAGAATGGTTTGGCTCTCATAATGATAAAAAAATTAATAAAGAGGAAATATAAGTAATTTTATTTTAAGTTGTAACCAATGCAATTCATTTTCAAAATCTTGATATTAATTTTTTTCTTTAATACATGTACCTAAATGAACAGAATTCTTTTGGTTTATATGATTTGAAATAAATTGCCAATAATGAACCTTACTTTGCTATATGATCAGCACACATTCCTGGAATATGATAAGTCAGTGGAATAAATTCAGATTGCTTTGATAACAATTTTATATATGATTGATGTGTAGACATTTGCACTCAATAAATATCTGTTATACACTATGATCGCAATTTTTTGCAAAAATTGAAATTTAGTAATTTTTTTTCTTCTTTGATACAAATGGAGTTGGAAAATGTCCTTCTCTTCAATGATTTATTAGGAAGACTGATACAGTACGTGGAAATTGTATTGTACACCTAGTCTAATGGGGAAAGGGATATAACTCTAACTCTCTCTCTCTCTCTCTGAGACTTTCTCTCTCTGTGTAATTTGGATATTTTTCCTTAACAAAATATGCTAGCATATCTTTAAAAAGCATATTTTTGTGTATAATTTTTTGTTATCAACTGATTTACATACACAAACATTTTGTGGAAAACGTTAAATTCTTTATATATACATCACATTCAAAAGCTGAGATGATGCAGAGTGCATGGAGTTACAGTTGATCTTTATTTCATATTTTACCATTTGTATACTTTTATCAAAAATTTACATTTATTCTTTGACTGACAATTATAATTTTCCTTAAGGTTACATCAATTATTTATTTGTGTATACTCTTTCAATGGGGATCAGTTTACCGGAAATCGGATAAAGCATTTTCTCATCCATTCTCACTGAGGTAATACTTGCATGTTGTACTTCAGAATCTGTGAAAATGCATGGATCTATAAAAAAAAGTCAATAAAATACAAAATATTTAAAATAAATCACTGAATTGTGAGAAATACTCACTAGGAATCATTTTAAAAAATCCATTAAAAACAGCTGTTTTATGGCCCCATCCACATCTTATGGATAAAATTTGTTAAGAGGGTTCTTAACTTCAAAGCCTCTTCTTCAATTAGCCATGTCCATGTTCATTTCAAGGAATTTCATGGGGAATTGCCAGAAATCAAGGATTTGACCCCACTTTGCAGGGAACTCATTTGCAGTTTGTCACTTAAAATCTGAAAATGTTTTCCACATTGAGTTCTTTTCCACAATCTTAAACATTTTGACAGATGAAACTATAAGATAATGTACCTATTAAAATACATATGAATGCAATTTTTATATGTCAAAATTTATGTATATGATTTTTATTGTTTAAAGAATTATTAACTGTTATTGAGAATTTTGAAATTGAAGAATATATTATATATCCTCATATTAAATGTCTAAGCATTGGAACCTTGCATGCCCATTTAAAATAAAAAAGCAACATGAAATTTAGACATTTTGTGTGTTAATTTTACTTTGTTGACAGCATATCAATAAATGTTAAAAGTAACTCAACAGAAATATAAAACAGTCAAACCTTTTTATCTCCAACTCAAAATTTTGAGACTGAGAATTCGAGACAACAAGGGTAAAATATTTAAGAAATTTTTTAGGACTTTCTAATCACTGACATATCCATGGTATTCGAGATACTAGTGTTTGAGATATTGAAGTTCAACTGTAGTTTATTATGCAACTTTAATTTTTAGGAATTTTCTTTTTCGAAACAAACACAAAAAAAATTTTGATTGGAGAAACAAAGTTGATCTAAGGGCAAATATTCCCTAAATATTTGCATCATTAACATTTTTTATTCGCAAACTATCGATAGATATTTGTTCATTTGTGTGAATCATAAATTTTAGTTTGAGTTATCAATCTAAATCAACAAATCAGTTTAAGCTTTAATGTAATGAGAAATTAAAGCAGGAGTATATGTTCATTAAAGCCATATATGGTGTATGTATAATGAAAATTATTAGACTAAAATTATAAGAACTTATTATTTGTATCATTACTTTATATAAAGATAAAACTTTTCCGTAAATTACAAAATCTAAGTCAATTGCGTTATAAAGATATCACAATTTAATTTAGATTCCTTATTTTTCGCGAGAAAATACAAAAGATTTGAATAACACAGTACAGAGAAGATAAAATCGTATTATTAGTTGAAACGAGGTGTTCTCCGTGTTCAGAATTGTATGAAAAGTTTTAATTTAAATGTAAATATTAATTTTGTATTTTTCAAAAATATATTTTTTGATCAGTTACGCCATATATGGCTTTAAGAAATAATGTTTTGATAAATGTTATGAGAAAGAAAAAGAAAGACCTGAAGTAGAAGTACATGTATACAGCCCAATTTGACTCTTAAACATTGATCAAGACAGATTTTGTCCTACCAGATCAAAATTGTGCATAACAAGGGAATTTATTCGAAATTTATTTGATTGGAAAAATAAATGCTTGTAATTGAATAAACTATCATATGACATAATATATGGTAAATGTTTTACCTTAACCTTTTTAATTATTTGTTAATTAAGGCTGCATGTAAATGTAACAGATTTAAGCATGTACAGTATAGCATGCTTAATTTAAGGAAGTGACAGGGATGGACAATTTTGCTTTTTAATTACTGTAGAAGTACTTTTTTCCACGTGGTATTAATTTACGCTATGTACTCGGTCACAAATTTTCCGCAGAAATTTGTCCAAGCGTACTTAATATAAATGTAAGGAATGTAGTAACAGTCTAGGAAATCCGCATAATTTTCTATTCGTGGATTCCAAAGAAATTGAGATTCCATGGAATTATGACCCTTAATTTGGAAAAAAGTACGTCTATACAGTATTGTAAGCGTAATTCATTTTATTATATGATTGAATAATTTCCATCTCTCTGATTGGCTGAGATCCAACTATGTTAGAAAAATATTACGTTGTATTGACCTGCATGTGACGTTCCAGGTCAATACAAGGATTTATTTCCTCTACATTGATCTAAAAATAGATCGGGATATTCCAAATTGATACAAATTGATTTAGAAAGCTATTTAAACTACTATAACTTTTTTTTCATGTGAAGAAAACATAAGCGAATATATATTTTCGGGTGAGGGTGGTGAGAGGACACTCCTCCAACACTTTTACTGAACAACAAATTTTACTTTTTGGCAATCAGTTTTCCCTGATAAAAATCTATCATAATTCAAAAAAAAACGACCTTTAAGGTTATAACATTTTAATTCCTTCTCTCTTAGTATTTGGATTTGATTAAATATATTTTTTATCATTTTATTAGTGAATCATATAATAAAACAATTACTTTCAAGTAAAATGATTTAGCCATCTTATAAGTACTGTTTGACATAAGCATGTTTTACTGTAAATTTTTAGAATTACTTGTAATATATGTAATATATCAAAAATATATTTTTGAATGAAAATCACTTTCAATTAAATTCATATAAGCTGTGCTGGCATGTTTTACTGTATATTTCCATTAGAATTACTTGTAATATATGTAATTTAAGAAGAATTAAATATCTGTGCTGGCAAGTAAAGAATTTGATAAGACTAATATGCATCTTCTTAAAATTCAAAGTATTTTAATGCAGATAGGCGCATATATATACACTAAAGAGTACAGCCATCCCAGTTATTTCAAGAGGTGAAAAAAATTTGGTTTTTTGATTTATTAACAAAACGGAGCATTAGTTTAGTAATGCCTAAGGAGGGTATAAACTGTTTGTTACTGAGAGGTGAGGGGTGTTGGGTTACCTCAGCAGCTTCCTCTCTCAGCTACACACACAGCACACACAAACTTCCAACATGGCTCCTGGCAGTTAATGTAGAGAGAGGTGGAGGAATATCTTGGCACTTGGAACCTCCCTACCCACGATTTCTGATGACAACTTACACGAATCTGACAACCTCAATCTTGTAATTTGTTGTGTATTATTTTTGAAGTGTAAATATACTCTAGACAGCTGGTTTTTACAGGTAGGCAATTATTTTTTTTTTTGGCTTATACATTTGGTTTCAATGTTTATTTATGGAATCTTTCAGGATGTTTTTGCATTAGCTTAGTATCATTTTTAAGAATTAAAAGATTTGTTTTATTAAGCTGTCAAAATTCTGTCACATTTATGTGATGAATGGATGTCTATATAAAGTGTGGTAAAATTTAACACAAGTGGATGATATTTTAGCTGATAAAAATAGTTTTTCCCTCAAGCTTATAGCAAGAATATGTCTGTTAAGTCAATCAGTGGCTAACTCACTCCTCTAACATGTGCATAATCTTCCCTCTACATGTTTAATACACCTTTAGCTGCCATTATAAGGGTGATGAAGATCAACTAATTTAATTTTAAGGGTGATTTCAGTATATTTCAGTGCTGATAAGACATTCCAATGTATTGCACCTTGAATTGTGGTGCAGTCATTTGTACTTTTGTGGACCAGTTCCTGTTTTTTTTTTTATATAATGGCATCAAGTTTGGATTTCTTTGACACACCGCAGACTTCTTATTTAAAAGTGCAGTCCTTAGTTTGATTGGTTGTGACAAGTCAACCATTACTTTAGCCCAGTACTTTTGATTTCTTGCTTAGTGTTAGAATTATCAGGGAACACCCAACATACCAATGCTAACACATGTTTTCACGAGAAGGTTTTTACATGTTTTTCTGTACATTACAAGCTTTATCTTCTTAGTAGTGATTGAAATGTATAGAATCTTTGCTTTTTGGAAAAGATTAACATGTGTTGATGGCATGGCTACAAACAGAAGAAAAGGATTTGATACATTTTTGGTTCATCTTGCTCTAAACTTTTTGAGTTTTTTTTTTTTTTTTTTTTTTGGGGGGGGGGTCCATTTCATTGAGGTAATTGAGCCATGGGATGATTGGTCTTTCTTATTTCTTTTCACTTGCTATCACATTTTCTAACAGTAATACATTTATACTGATGAAATGCAATTAATAAACCCAGCGTCCTAATCCCCTCAGGGCTGATCTAGATTTCCAATTTAGTGATTAATTGAGGATTAATTAGATATTCTACACATCAGATATGTTCAGTAAACAGTTTAATTCTGGACAGTACAAGTATTTGATTGGCAGGGAGTTCAGAACTTCTGGACAGTATTAAAAAGAGATAATGGTTGCTCATGCAGTTCCATGCTCCTCTGTTGCTACTATTAAGCTGTTCGATATGGATTTGTATTAAAGTGGTCCCTCTATCAGACTGAAGAGAAGGTCTATAGGGAAACCCCACTGTGTGCTACTGGCAGCTCTTCATCCTCTGAAGGTACAAATGCTGGTTTATCAGGGCTAAACAAGTAAATTGGGGTTTTCAATGTATATTTTGATTTAAGCTCAATTTAAAATATCCCCCAATTTTTGCATATTCTGAGAATGAGTCATTATGCTAGGTTTTCTGGCATTTTTCATGATATTGAATACACAAAAATTGATAAAAGATTATAAGCCTTTTTCCCCTCCTCAGTGTATCAGATGCAGGCAAATATAAGTATGGTAAAAACATAAAAATGCAACAGTGTGTACATTATGTTAATGCTTGGATCTGATGCAGTAATGTGTATACAGAAGGCTTGTAATTGGAGAAGACAAGTGTCATTTTGAGAATGCTTCTGGCATCCTCTCTATACACAAAACATTCTATAGTAAGAGGAAAAATGGCTGCATGCTGTAATTATCTGTGAAGAAGCCAAAAAGTGTTGTACGTGTTTGTTGAAAATATCATTTGGATATTTGATTTACAGGTCAGTAAGCCAAAACAAGTTTTAATTTCTAAGGTTGAAGATTGCTGCAAGATTTTCTAACCAAAACTTGGAATTCTAAAATGGATTTTGATTATAAGCAATATTTGACCAAATTGCATAGGAAATAGGGATCTACAAGGTTGCATTTATAACTTAATCATGGGAAACCTAAAATACTTTAATAAGACCTTGACTTTTTCTTTCATGTTAATTGCAGAAAAAGAAAAGAAAAAACACCCAAAGAGCACTTACAATATACCATAAAGACCTCATATATTAAATTTTTTTTCTCAAAGTACTTTGAGAAAAAAACAGGAAGATGGGTTGCAAGGCCTGAGAGAGAGTCTAGGTGTTGCAGAAGAAGGAAGGTTGTTAGACTAATTAGTGCAGAGGTGAAGAGTTTGAGGGCAAGCTGGGGGTTCTGATATGATACTGTGATATATGAAGTCTAATGTTAATTACGCTCATCTGGCAATCTCCACATAATGTGAAGAGGCCCTCGGAATTCTTTGAATACTTCGCCAAAGCTGTGCCGACTACTGAGATGTGTGTATTTTTGGTCTGCAGTCTGTTATGTATAAGAAAAGTGTAAACAGAACCAGCAGAGGTCAATATGCTCATTAGGAGCTAAAAATAAATGGCTGAAGGATACCAGTTCCTGCAAGTATGACTAATGCTGCAAGGGTTCAACATCAGGTACTCGATGGTCATCATGAGCAAATGGGGTCAGAGTTCAAGAGAGTGGTGAAAATTACAGGGAATTTAAAGCCTCCTCATAATTTGCCTTTCTGACCCCTTAGAATCCAAAAAATAAAACATTTAAAAAATTGAAAAAAGGTTTTAAGTGTTTGAGGGATAATCCATATATTTTATTTTTTTTGCCTGAAGTATGAGCAGTTGTGAGTTCTTGTGAGTACTTGAGGGGCTAACCACAAGAGATGTGAGTTGGCAGAGCCAAGACTTTGCGCTTTTGCAGCACATTGCTGAGAAAAAGAAACGGATTTGTTCTGAGAAAAGATTGGGGCTGGCACTCAACAGTTGCTGGTGTCAGTCAGGTGAAAATGAGATCAAAGAGATACCACTAATTACCCCATCATACTGCAATCTTTAATGTGTGTCCAAATGTCTCCATTCTGTCACAAGAGGTAGATGCAGAGACTTGGCAATTCACTATAGATTGGTATTGTCTTGAATCTTTCAAATTATGACCACAGTAATTTTTATAAGCTCTTTATTATTATTAATTAATTTTAAGAGAAATACTTATTTTTATGACCATGATAAAACTATGCAAGTGTTATTAACCTGTTTAAAATAGTTTTATATTCCAAAAGACAAATTAAAATTAATTGACAAATAGAAATTCTTGTTTGAATTTAAATACAAGATACACTTGTCATACTGAAACAACAATTTCAAATCAAAATTCTTTTCATTTTAAAGCCTACATAAAATTGATAATGAAAAATGAAAAAAAAAAATATGCCTGCAATGTATCATAAAAATGTTTTGAAGTACTTGTCATAGATTGATGAATTTTTTATTGTCTGGGATAAAGCATTGTTTTTGCTATCATGTCTTTTCATTGTTTTACAGTGGCTAAATCCACACAATGTGAGTGTTCTCCCCTTGCTGTCGTTTAGAGTTGCTGCCAGCATTTGTGTCTGACAAGGAAACAGGATTAAAGTGAGTACTGAACAAAATCCAGATTTACACACAGACACACCAACAAAAACAATAACATTTTTTAAAATCTGCATCACTTTCATTTGGCTACGTAGAAAAAAATTTTAAGAACCGATGCAATATTCTTTGACTATAAGCATTGAAACAGTCTAATTGATTTGAATACACCAGGACAAACTCTTATGAAAATGGGATGCAGAGATGCTTTAAGAAGGGGTGTGTACTGATTAGTTTAATGGATTTAAGTCTTGCAAAGAGAGAGGTTATGTAAACTGCACAACTGCCTCTGACCTGCATTCTCTACATATCATTGCCTGGCTCTGATATGCACACATATGGTGGATGCTATAATGGTAATTAGGCATGTCTTTCTTTCTTTTTTGTGCAAGGTCTTATTTTCATTAGATCCCTAATAGTTGCCAAGACAAAATGACACTTGTTGAATTATTGCAGGGAATGCAAAAATATCAAAGATTTCAAATGCAGATATAAAATGTGTTCTTGTGTCTGCAGATTTAGCTTTTGTTGAATCATGTTCTATAAGATCTGTTTTCTTTGCATATATATCAACTTTTGAAAAATCTTTGTCTCCTTCTTGTTCATTCATTTGGCAATATATCATATATTAACTTTTTTATCTACTTTTTAAACTTTTTTATATACCAAGCCTCCCAGAAAGCAAAAAAAAAAAGTGTTTAGAATGTATAATGTACTTCTCTTCTGTATAATTGCTTTGGTTTTTTGTTGTTTATTTGTTTTGGAAACAAAAAATCTGCATTTACAATGTTGATATATGTGTGCCTCCCAAAATGCAGTAACAGTGCAAGTAGTATTGGAGGCTTGGAACTGCAGACTTCATTTCATACTATGGTTTGGGAAATGTATTTTTCAATCAAAGATGGAGTACCGGTATGCTGGTGTCCATATTTTTGTATGGCAAAAAATTGTACAGCAAAAATTAGAACAGATAGATTATGAGGCTAAGGAGAAACCTCCCAATCCCTGGCATTTTCTCATTATGACAAGTGTTTTTCTTCGCAGACAATATTGTCATGGTAACATGTTTTTTGTAACAACACATGATTTTGTCTATATTGATAGGTTCCTCACAAACTTCTGGTATTGCGTGAATTGTTTCAGTCTGTTTCTTGTGAGTTGATGCAAAATACATGTGGAGGGTTTTCTGAATTCAAATATGTCATTCTTTTTCTTGAATGTAAATATTCCAACTCCAATTTTGCCCCCCCCCCAAATGGAGTAGTTTTTGGTCTGCATGTTTGTCTGCAAAAAACTTTAATCTTGGTCATTACTTTTGAAGGGTTGTAGCTAGGGCTTTTATACTTAATGTGTGTATTCACTAAGACTGACCTCTTTACCTTGACTTTTGAATTTGACCTACTTTAATATTTGCAAAATTTTACCAAATTTTAACTTTTGCCATAACCTTCGAATGGTTGGTGCTAGGGCTTTCATATTTCAATTGTAAATTTCTTGTGATAAGACCTTTCCTTGGGTACCAAATATTTTGACCTTCGTATTTGACCTACTCTTTGAAAACTTTAACCTTGGCCATTATCTGCCTGTGTATTCTGGAGCATCATGCAATGTTTTGCAAACACATGTTGTCTTGATTCTTTCTATGCAATTGCAACTGACTACATAATAAATTGATTAGAGCACATAGTTACTTGTGAAAAGAAAATTAACATTTTAAAAAACATATAGTCTCTGCAAATGTTGTTGTCAAATGCATGATTTTGTTGGGGGGGGGGGGGGCAGAAAAATTGTCCTTGGACCTAAAGAATGATTTTCTCTCTAAAATGCAAAAAGAGGGAAAATGGTTAGAGCTGTAGCATTATGTACAGAACATATCAGTAAGTATGGTAGGCTTGGAGAGTAATATTTGTACAGAAGATAGCAGAATGTAAATATAATTTGTTGATGTTCCTGGAGATTCCACAAATAACAGAACCCTCTCAGATAAGATACATACCAGTGAATCACCATGCATTCCATAGCTCTCCAAAGGTTTCCCTAATCCCAGCCAGGGTAGAGCCCCCACACAGAGAGTGAAGGGGGAGGGGGTGTAGGGACATTTGTATCTGTCAAAGAAAGAAGATGAGAAATGAGGCAAGGAGATAAAATAGGGGATTCAGATTAAGTGTAGGTATTCTAAGATCTGTAATCTTGTACTTTAGTTTACAACTAGAAACTCAGAACTTGGAGTACATTTTTTTGAACATCTGTAAACTGAAGTGGGAATGCTCAGTGTATAGAGAAAAGACAACTGAAAGGGTTGTACCTTGGCTATCGACATCTGTCACTGATTAAGGAGTTTTGGGGTCTTCAGAATCAGACATGGTACCTGGTAGTCAGTCATGACCAGCTACATATATATATCTCCAAATAATTGCCTCACTAAGCGCTGTGTATTGTTTATAATATGATCAAGCCAGGGCTTTGGTACTACCAACTGATGTTGACCTTGCACTGTCATGTTGGACTGCCATTGCAATAGAATCATTTGTTGAAGCCATAAATGCTGTTACTTGGCCTATAAAGCCATCATTTAACTGGAGAAGAATAGTGAAGCTACTTCCATCTAATAAAACATGTCCACTGTGCCTAGTGTAGCCATTTGTTTTTCGTTAAAGATATGCATTTGACAACTGGTGTATTCACCTGTATCCTATGTGGAGAGGAGTAGGGCATTAAATCAGTCTTATTGAATCTGTTCCACTGGATGTATGGCATTGTTATCAGTGGTGATATACTCTGATTCGTGTTTGATCTATTTAGTGAAGCTGGAGGGGTACTTCTCTTATTCTGACCAAATGGGTAGGTGAAATTTTTCTAATTTGTAGAAAATATCATAAAATTTTAAACATGAAAATCCAAAAAAAAAAAAAAAATCTAAGTGAAGACAAAATTATTCATAATGGGGAAAGTGTAAATATATGCTTATCTTTTTTTATTTTTATGAAAAATTATCATGAAAAAAGCAGTTTTAAAAATTTATGTAATTATTATTATGCCAATTTAGCCTTTGAATTTCTAATCAAGGAATAGTTAATTTAAAAGCATTCATCTTCATCTAGTACTGTAGTACAATTTTCAAGGTTATGTACATGCCCAAACACCCCTCTCCCTCCCCTTACTTTTTTTACAAGCCTCTGTAACTCAGCTACTAGCTATTCAACAAAAAGAAATTTACCTTAACTCAGTGGTTAAGGAGTATCTGTGTAGAAGTTTTTGCTAGAAATGTATATATTTGACAATAAAACAGCCAGTCTTATATAACGAACATGCATCTGGCAATTTTTTAATACATAATTCTGACATGCTAACATTTTAATGTGTCTGCATGAATTTAATATATCAAAGCAACAATCTTTTATACATATCTTAAATTGAAAAACTCCATATTCTCAAGACTTTAAAGTGCATGAAAACATTGGTTGAGAGGGGTCAGCATAACTTATTTTTTATTAACTGTGTTATGTTTACATGTATAGGTGTATATTACACACATGTATGAGGGGTAATTGAGTGTAGTGTATTGATTTGGAGGTGACATATACTTTGGATTTGACAGTTAGACCTTGTCCATCTTTACTTGTCATTTATTGAGGCCCAAAGGTATGCAGGTAAACAACAAATTCATTCATGCATTCATTTCAGTTTACTAATTGCTCATTTTTTATTATCCTCTAATTGTAAATCATGTCTATGAATTTAAAATTATTTTTGTACCACCTAGAGTATAATAATTGCAAAAAAGTTATGCAATATAATCTTAATGCATATTCCCTGATTAACTTTGAACTTATTCCCGTCAAGGCAAATTAAGTGCCCTATTGAATTATCTTTGAATGTCTTTATTCAAAAGTGAGAAGTATTGGAATTGTCAACTGAATGCAGAAGCCAGATTATAATTACTGATTTATCACTTAATTTTGACTTATGAAGAAGAAAGAGATGGTGGACATTAATGACTCAAGATTTAATGCTCTATATGACAGAAAATGATTATTTGATTTAGATATAATCATCCAAAACAAGGAATTTCCCTTTGGTGACAAATTGCTTGCATATACTGATCAGTTTTTGTGCATTGAGCTTGACATCTTGGTAATTGCACTACATATGTTTTCTCCTTTGCAGAAGCAATGACTTATAGTCCTATTTGAATTCTCAGAGGAAAATCATTTATAATCAAGGATATAGGGAAAATTTGTAAAAATCATAGTGTACACAATATCCTCACGTTTATAAGACAAAATGTATGGCTGGAACAAAGATGAATGATTTTGGATGATATTGTTTCTTCTCTTTTATGAGTAAAAGCTTTTTCTTATTTCTTTGTTTGAAATCATCTTGCTCACTTTGAAGTAAGAGATCTACGGCTTCCAATGATGCCTATATTGATAGAACACATCGCAGCTAGTGTGTAAAAAAAAGGCTGTATTGGTGGTAGGGAAAATTATTCAAATCTGCAATTCTTCATCAAAAATGTAATATTGAATCATATTCTTCACTGCATATTGTTGATACAAAAAATGTCCCATAAATACTGTAGACGTACTTTTTTCCGCCGGGTCTTAATTCCGCGGAATCACAATTTCTGTTTAGTCCGCGGGTAGAAAATTATGCAGATTTCTTAAACTGTCACTGTATGCCTTACATTAATATTAAGTACGCTTGGACAATTTTATTCCCGCGGAAAATTTGTGACCGCGTACATAGCATAAAATAATACCATGCAGAAAAAAGTACTTCTACAGTATTTGGATTATCCTTTTAAAGGAAAGTTGGATCTCAATGGTGATTTGTTTCATCATGCAGGCAAAACTTGCAAGTGTACCAAGTTTGAGTTCCAACTGTAAAATAAAATTTCCCAAAGGGCTCAGTGAAGATTGTACATTGAGGGTTAGATTGATAAATCATTGTATTGACTATTAAGCAAAAGCCATGTCAAATAATTCTTTATTAAAATGATT